ACCCCGGTGGGGACTGAAGAACAAGTCTTTGATCATGGGTCACAGACCTACTTTCTTATTTTCTTTGAGCAATTCTAGAGAGTTGTTTGCTTCTCCTGAAATTTTGCAGCCCATCGTTCCTGCACTTGGCCTCACCTCTTTCACTTTGCATGTGTGCCTGTTTCAGTGTAATTTTTCTTGAGCGTGTGATTCAGAATTAATGCATTTGCAGTGCAGTGGAGGGAACTGACATGTCCTCGTGATACTGTAAATGAGCAGTGGCAGTTCCTTTGAGTTCAAAGCAGCTATAAAGATCTTTATCGGCTTTCTCAGTGGCCTGTAAATCATCACAAGCCCAGTGAATGGCGTATTACCTACCTCACTTCTGCAGTGAGTTATTTGAGTGATGAGAATGCGAGAGAGCAACTGTGTGACATAAGTTCATTCACTTCCCACAAAGTAATCCAGAGCCAGGCTTGGCTGCCCTCGCGATTTCCTGAAATAAGAACATTCCACCTGCAAAACACAAGCCCAACCAACAAACAGCCAAACCCCATTAGGCATGGGTCATTGAGTATGGTGTGGGTGGAAAAGCCTTTCTTGTACTAAAGTCACAAACTATATAGTGCAGGTGGGAGTGAGAACTAGCTACTAGTTAATGATTTATGTATGAGGAAACCAGTTCAGTCTAAATTATCTCATATTAACAGTACTTGTTAAGGACATAAGTTTATTCTGCAGAGCTAAGCCAAATTCTGCCCCTAGTCTTATGTTCACTGCACAAACCCCTGCCTTCACTGGTCCATGTTGTGCCTCCCAAGACCCAGGGCAACTGGGAGAGGAGGGTGGCACCGTGTCACGCTGGGAGGAGAGCTCATCTCCTGGGATCCTCCGGGAACTCCTCCAAGGCTGCAGCATGCAGCCTGTACACCCTCCCATACACCCTTCGAACACATGCCAGGTAAAGCATCGCTGGTACTTGCGGGAACTGGGCAAGGGAGCCATCCCCACCAAAGTGGGGCAGTTCACTTCTGTGGAGTTGCAGGGGAAAGAAATGCCTCAGATACATCAAGCTCCTGGTACAGATGAAGTAGTATTACACAAAATGTTAATTGGAGCCTTATCATGCATAAACCCAGCAGGAAGTAAAGGTAAAATACACGCATGTACCTCCAAGTATGGGCAAGTTTACAACATAAAAACTGTGAAAGACAATTAGCCTCTTGAGAATTAATTGTATTTTGCTTTGAAGTTTTCTCTGCTACTCTATATATGTTACTAGTGTTTATGACCAATAGATGTACCAGTATCATTGATCCTCATTCAACTTGCTTTCCAGAGGGGTTACATGATTCTGGCATGAATACTTGCAATGATCTTATATGATCACCACTAAACTAGGCAATGATCAAAATAAACTATAATTCACTTATAATTTTTGTTAGCAATATATTTTTTTATTTTAAAAAAGCTTTAAAATAGTCCCTACTGGCATATTCAATGTAAATTGCTCACAAGTTGTAAAACAATGCAAGAATTAAAAGCTCATTTTCTGCTACAAATGAAGTAATGGTTATAGGTTAAAGGGGCAGGACAAGGGACATTGAAACCATTCATTTTAAATTACAGTATTCCTCTTCTGAAAAGAATGAAGACTACAAAATATAACACGTTTATTAATCTGGACAGCCTGCAAGTAGGAGTTAGGGAAATGACTGTTTAAGCAGAAGCAGAAGTTCTGTGGAGCATCCGTCGAGCTGGGCAGTGAGTCCTTCTCCCTGCACCTGTACTGGCTGTAGGAGCAACTGTTGGTGTAAGGTGGTGCTATATGTGCTATACCTTAAATTGTACTTGTAGGCTTCTGGTGTCCAGTGCATCTCCGTAGGTGACAGGCTGGCCAGAGCGGCCTGATTTTTTTGAAAAGTGGTGCTGCATTCAAACACATGAATGCTGCCCTCCTATTTTTATTGAAGTGACTGTTAGCACTTTTCTGTCTTTCAAAGGCCCAAGCAAAGCTAAAATGCTTCGTACAGCGAGAGAGACTCGTCTCAGAGATCCTGCGCACTGAAAGCATTCCTTAGTACTTTTACATTATCTTGGTTTGTCCTTCCCTTGCCTCTGGCCATGCCTGCCTTTGTCTTGGCCCATGCGTTAGCCAGCCACTGTCTGTATCCTGGTAAGGATCAACCGTGCTTAATCCTGCCGGTGGGAGACAGGGATGCTGGAGGTCAAGGAGTGAATTCTTCCTTTTCCGGATGTTGCATGGAATGTCTTCATTCCAGAGCTATTTGTAGGCTACGTGGGCACTTATCTTTCTAAGGAGATAATCTCCTTTTTAATATTTTGGGTTTCTGGTTGATTATTTTGTCCGTAGCAATGACATCATAACCAAAGCACTGAAGGTTAACTAACGAGCAAGCTCTTTTTTATCAACTTTCTGGTTCAATTGTACTTTATCCCTCAATAATTCTCTTTTTTCATCTATGGGAATGACTTTACACTGGTGTGAACTGAATGCTGTCACACCATCGTAACTGACACCAAATCAGACTGGGTAATTCTAAGTGAGCACAACCCTGGGGAATGGCAGAGGGATATGCTAGAGCTTGCTGCAGGTAGTATGCATATGGTAGGCAACAGCTTGGTCCTGTCATTTTAAATTTTCCATAGATGTAAAAACACAATGATAAATTTTATACACATTATGAAGTAAATCTCCACCTGACATCATTAAGAAGTCAAGGAAGATATCTGTCCTCCAGCTGAGGACATGTCTCTCTGAGTTTTGTGCCTTCCTCACTGATCTGGGGTTCAGGCTTGGGCTGACAGGTGTTTCTGATCGCTGCAGGAGCCCTGGGATCTCTGTAGAGCAGCTGCTGTTGTTTTGGAAGCAGCCAGGTTTTTTTCATCCCCCTCCCCTACCTGAATGGCATCCGATGTCAGAGTCCAAAGGAATATTTTTAAATGATGAACTAGATTCAGGTTTTCTTGGGGATACTGATTTGGGTAACAAATCTGTGTAATCTTGGCAGGCCTTCTGCCTCTTTGTTTGCATTTCACATAATCTACAAAATGAGTTTACTGACCAAAATGTTTCCTAAAAACAGCAATTTCTTATGCATACTGGAATTCATGGAAACATATCAATGAATGGCTTGAAATACCAGAGGAAATTTTGAAGTGTCAAAGGATATCTCAGGAAATCTTGAAGTACCCAAAGACAGTGCCCACAGAGAAAGAGATACTGCAATCATACTACTGTTTATTTACTGGAAACAATCTTTCAGCTCTACTGTAAAAAATAATACATATCTGTTTACATTTATACCACTGACACTGAGATTCAAGACTTAAAATAAAACTGGGCTAAATCCAGACCTGATGTAAGGTGGTTAGTGATCACTGACTTCAGCATAGTGGTGATCACATTGCAGTCTTTCTGACTGGGCCAAATACTCTGTTTGCAAACTGGGAAAACCTCATCCAAGGTGTGAAAAGCCTATGGATGTATTGCATAAGCATGTCCTTATCAGGCTTCTTAAAAAGCCTTGAGATTATCAAGCCAGTATGACATAGATGCAATTTCAGGAGAACAGTGATTCATGAGGACCTAAAAGAGCATCTATCGCCTTCCAAACTGGGGGGTTGTGGGCGTTTTTTTAATCCTCTTCATGAAGCCAGGCTCTGCCAGCAGGCTGGGCAATCCCTTCAGCCATTCAGACCTAGTATTTTGCTGTAAGGGTGCCTAACGACATTGCAGAGGGAGGGGGGTACAAAAGCAGCAGATGGGCAAATAGCAGTGCCTGCATTTTCAGTGAAACGCATGAAGAGCTTGTTGTACAGATGGTGGGTGCAGAGGAACCTGGCAGGGAAATAACGGATCTGCCTTGGCTATGAGAAAAGCAACTGAGGTTAGTAAGAGCCTAGAAGAGACACATAGCCTACAACTGATCTCCAAAAAGCAAAGTGAAACATGTTATGTAGTGCCAGAGGAGAAGTGGAGCTCACTCAGCATGTGCTTGCAGTGCATGACCACAATGAGATCACTTGTCCAGGACAAACTCAAAAGAGAGAATGAGCGACTTCTGGGATGCAGGAGGGAATTGAAAGAGATTGAATATTTCAGGAATTTTTGTTTGCTGAAGTGTTTTCTAAAGATCCCTTTGCTACCCAGCTACATTCCTCAATTCTTACATCAAGGTTACTGCATCATTATTCACTTGCTGGTGCAAAAGTGTATCTGCCTTGTACCCAAACTATCCCTCGTGTGACTTCATCAATATTAGTTGAGTTACACGGGGGGATCAGTTTGGCCAATGGAAACCACTAGGGGGATCTCAGAAGTTTGAACTAAGAACTGGAATAGGTGAGATTTCCACCTCTGATGTGCACACTTATAAACATCAGATGCACTCTGCACTGAAACGGGGGAGGAAAGAGGCAGCTGCAGGATCAGAGGCACCCCCGCACAAATACCTCTGGCCCATTACACTCCCTACAGCACTGACCCTTCAGCACAGGTCACCTTTCTGGGCAGGCTTTCTGCGGAATCCCCAGAAGTCTAGTTATGACCATCAGCCTCAGTCTTCATGCATGGCACCTACTTTGGGGTTGAGCTATTCAGAATTGGTTCAAAGACTTAAAACAACCAAATGTGATGGGTGTAAATCACTTGTCTGCACTCATCTCGGATGAGGAAACACAATTTGCTTGTGCCGTGTTATCTTACAACTTTTTGACTTCCAAATGCAGAGCCACACTACCACAACTAGTTTTAGCTTCTGTAAATTCTCCTTGTATACAGATACATGCACAATGCTTTACACACACACAGGGAAGATCCTAAGGATACTTTTTATCTTTCCATTAAAAAGCAGCAGTCATGCAAATTAACACCAGCTGAGGGTTTTGTCCATCCAGGATAGAGATTTATTTTAACAATAGTCAGGCTTGAATAACATTAGGGCATACTTTTATTTCTTTTTTTTTTTTTTTAACATCTTTGTGCTATGAAATTTTCATTGGGTTCTAATACAGCTACATGCTACGGAAGATATTCAGTAGCATATTCTGTGAATAAGCTAGACTGGAGAACTCGAATGATTACAAACTGTACTGATTCTATTGTTCTGCTTGCTCTAGACAGAGAAAAATGAATGTGTAAGTTCTGCTGATGCTGATACCATGTTTATGAGACAGTGAAAGTTGACTCTTCTAAAAGCTGAGCCAAAAAAAGGTAAATATGAGTACAGGCCCCCAACCTGAAAAGGAGAAAGCTCTGTGTGAGTGGCCCTGGACACTACACTCGGTGATGGTGGGTGACCAGGTACTCAAAGAAGCTCAGTTATTCTCAACAAAGTTACTGTTGTCAGAGAAGTACAAGTTGAAAAGCGATTCTGTGGGATCCAACAAACTCTTAGGTAAAATAACATTTTGTTGCCTCTGTCAAAAAAAGTCAATCCCCTAAAAATATCTCAAAGTTAAATAGGCCAGGTGATAGGACCCATTCAGCTCTACAGCACTGGATCGTTCATCTCTTGCCATTCTTCTCCCTCCCGACTAGCACGAATCACTTGGTTAATTTATCAGAATAGATTCTGCTTCCCAATCATTGTATCTGTATCAAAGATTACTGCCATTTCTGCTTTCGTTTACTTTTATTCCAATTATTGCACTGGTAATAGATGCTGTACGAACACATAGTGAGAGGCAATCTTTCTCCCGAGAACCTTCGATCAAACAGACGTGACAGCCGTCAGGCAGGAGAGGCAAAGAGCTGTCCCCCCCTCAGCTTGGCCAGGGAACGGCTCTGCTACCCTGAGCGAAGAGCATGTCAGTGCAGAGCCAGGGGGAAGCCACGCATACCCAGACCAGGGTCAGTGCCCTCATCTGGTGCTGGCCAGAATACTCTCTATTAACCATATGGTAAAACTCTTTGTGTTAGAAAATCCTCTGCAACAGGTTAGAATAAAGAATCATTTTCTGAGCAGACCTGGAATTCTGTCTGCTTTTAGGGAGGCCCGGCCTCAAAGGAGAACATGAATGTATACAGCAGTTGCAAGTTTGGGTTTTTAACTTTCATGCTGTAAAAACCTGACACGCATAGTCCTTTTTTTTATTTGGTGAGAATTGCTGTAATATACGAGCCTGCAATGGTCTATTGGAAACAGACCCCTGACTAGGCAATGGAGAGTTTAGATGTTATAAACTGCTAGTAATTTATTATTTTGAAATTGGCATATATTTTGGCAAAGTTAAAGTTGGCTGGAGTGATAGTGAGTGATGAAAGATGTTATGGCGGTTGAGAAGTGCCTGAATTCCTTTGTTTCCAGACTTTTCACTTTTTTTTTAAGGCGCAGAATGTTTATATAGAAAGTGCAATATTGTTTTATGAGTATTTGCTGGACCCTGCTAAAACCAAGCATTCAAGCCTTACTCTTTTAACAAAGTGTTTTGTTATGGAATTCCTCTGGGTTTTGATGTTTCTAAATTAGGGTTAAATCAGGTTGGTATGTGGGGGCCATGGGAGAACAGCCCAGAAGTGAGAAACTGTCTGATGTCTAACAGGGTGCACTTCCTCTCCAGAAGGTGATGCGATGGCAGGAAGAGAGAGGTCTCCTCAATTGGGCATGACGAAGCCATAACATAGGGGCACAAAAGGGGGAAAAGGGGGCTTTTAAGCACTGGGAAAACTTCCAGCATGTTAAGAGTTTAACGTCTTTAATGCAAGACCTTGCCTGCCCCTTGTCTGCTCTCTGGGCCACCAGAGCCTGCTTGTTTCCCACGTCTCACTTCCATCATCTGGGACACATGAGCACTTTTAGCCCCATGGTTATAAACTAGCATTCCTCTGTCCTGGTCATCTCTATTTTCCCCTCCAAGACTATGGTATACGGTGAGCCATGATACACTCAGGAAACACATTCTTGTTTCTAATATTTCTCTGCGCATTTCCTCTACATTTATCTCCTCCAAGTCGGCTACTCACAAAACTCATTGGCTTCCTGCCCTCAACTTGGCCCACTAAACCCTGGAGTCAGGCTTCAGGCTTTTTGTTTTTACAAAAAGGACAGCCTGTGTACAGAGCTCTGAGCCACAGGATCCCAGGATGTTGTGGCAGCACGGAGGAAACTTTAAACCATTAAGAAATGGAAGCTGCTGAAGCACACTCAACTCAGCATTTTGAGACTGTGAGCCATTGCATCAGGACTTCCTTCAAGCTGAATACAAGTAAGAAGAGCAGAGTCTCTACTAAAGCTAGGGAAGAACAACTCCAGACTAACTCACAAAGCTTATTAGGAACAAGAGAGTCAATTTTCTGATTGTGTCATGTGGTCTGTGTTGTGATAACTTTCTGAGTCTGTATTCTCCCATTTAATACTCCACTTTAATGAAGATCTCACATAATGCTTCTACTCTGCTTCAGCCTGCTTGCATTATAATCTTCATAAACTCCTTTTCCCAAGTAGCATTAAGCACTTCCAGTCCTCAAAAAGATGAAGCAAAGGTTATCTTTCCTGCCCTAGCGATGCTGGAGAGCAAATGAGCCAATAAGGAAAAAGCAAGGGGAAGAAGCAAAAGAGCTTGCTTCAGAGAAATTTAAGAACAAGACATATGAATCCTCATCCCTACTAAAATAAAAGACCAAACTGCCAGTGGCTTCAACAAGGTAAGCATTATACTTCCAAACTCTACAATGATTTTTATTTTTTTTTCAGACTCCTAAACATATATATATAGATTTAGCGTAGCACTGTGAGGCCTCAGCTGGAATACTTTTCACAGTTTTGGGCACTGCACTTCAAGAAAGATGTGAACCAACTGGAGAGAATCCAAACGAGAGCAACAAGAATGATCAAAGGTCCAGAAAATGTGATGTATGAGGAAAGACCAAAAGAATTGGGTTTGTTTAGACTAGAGAGAAACAGTCTGAGGGGAGACATGACAACAGTCTTCAGACATGTTAAAGACTGCTGCAAAGGGGAAGATAAACTGTTCTCTATTTCTACTGGAAGTAGGCTAAAAAGCAATGGATTTAAATTACAATAGCGGAGATTCAGATTAGACTTTAGGAGAAGCTTTCTATTGGTTACAGCAGTTATACCTGAGAAGACATTGCCTACGGAAACTGTGGGATCCCATCGTTTGAGGTCTGGGTACGGGTATAGTGGTGTCTGCTTTGTGGCAGAGGCATGAACAGTAAGACTGGTCCAAGTACTTTCAGCTTATTTTCCCCAATGTTAGGAATGTAGGAGAGAGACTGCACGTGAACAGAACAATTTTTCTGAAGGAATTTGGATGGGTCTGAGCTGAGCAGTCCTTGAACAGGAGATTAGTTGCAGCCTTAATTACAGTTAGTATCACTACCTTATAACGATTACAAACTGTTTGCAACTACCCCACTCAGGAAAACAGGGAAAAATAAAGTTCTGATTCTCATCTGCTCTAAAGTCCCTGGACACTATTCTAGCAGTGGAGGCCTGTGTCAAAGAGTCTGGGTGTAAATAAGTAACACCCTAAACATTGTAAAACATGCCAACCAGTGATAGATTTCTATGAACTCTGTTATATAGAAAGATTTAATACAGGAAGGAACCCAAACATGTGACACTTTGTTAGAAAGTAGAAGATTACATACTACAACATGTATTTTTGGAATGAATTTACAATGAATTTTAACTATAAAATAGAATCAAAGAAAAAACAGGTGAAACTAAGACAAATGCAGGGTGAATTGAGACAAAGTGCCTGACTGATAATTCCAGAGATAATTGGGAATGTGAGTTAGCACTTCTGAGATCCCTTGTTTCAATAGGTGGCTTTTTGTTTCTGTTTCTGCTTGTTTGTCTGCTTTCCATTTATAATGAAAAAGAAGGCAAGATTGCAAAAGCCAGCTTTTTCCTCAGTTTCTTTGGTGCTTTTTCCTAAGCAGCCTTGGAGCTACAAAGGTTCACAGTCTTTCAAACATAGACTCATACCCTAGAAGTGTTTACAATGGAAAGAAGAGTCCTTAAAATATATGACCACATAGAGAATCATATGGGATCTGCTGACGATACATCTTCAGAAGTCTGCATCCTGGTAGGGACTGTGCATGAAGAGGCCTCCCTCCTCAGACAGGCATAGGTCACCGGGTCTGTGGAAATACTGGTTTGGTTTAGAGCTGCTATACGTACTGGCTTCTGAGGAGAGAGTTCTGCAGAGGAGGAACCGTCTCTTTTGGTTTAATGTTTCCAGGGCACAAACTCAAGGTTTAGAAGGAGTACTGTGATACATATATCCTCAGCCGGATGACAGAGCTTCCTCTGAAGTTAATGACGGTGTTAACAGTGATCATTTCCAAGTCCAACTGAATAGTACGGGGCCCCTTCACGGGGCGGGTCATCACCAGAGTAGCACTGATCGGTCCTGTTTGCTGTGCACAAAGCAAGAGGAAACAGGTGAGATTTTAAAAAACGGCTCTTGAAAACGATCATCTCGGGTGAGACAACATTATGGCCATGGTCTTTGAGCAGCCAAAATAACACTGTTTTCTGCTGTATTGTTAGAGGCTACTGCAATTCACGGGAGAGAGCGCTTCATTTCAGCATTTGGCTCCATTTCAGTGTTTTGTATGAACTATCACCTTCTATAGTTTGTAAAGCTTTTGGGAGCCCTGCACATAAAAGGAGCTATTGAACATAGAAATTTGCTATTGTCCAAATGGAAAAAGATGAAAACATGGATTTAGGGTATGCACAAGCAGTGACATCAATTTTTTTGTGCATAAGATATTATTTTGTTTGATGTAAAGAGCACTGTTACTTTGAAGGAGCAAACACCAAGAAGGGGTTATGTTAACAGAGCTTGGCGAACAGATGTTCCTATGTGAACAGGATCAGGGTTTGTTGTATAATTGCATACGTTAACGTTGCAAAACCTTACCCTCTGAAGAGAGTTTTAAATATGTGAAGGCACTTCAGAAAAATCTGTCTTTTAGTAAGTGGAAGCAGACCTTTGAAATATCTGGCCAGAACGGTGGATTATGAGCATTTAAAAATCAGAGCTTCTGACGTTAAAACCAAGTGCAATTTGCTTTCCAGCAGAAACACAAAGCGGGACCTGTTTTCCCACGAAATGGAGCGTTTGCATTATCTCTGATCAGAGAAGCCCAACAAAGCTGTGAGGAGGAGCCGGGGCCCCCCAGGCCGGGCTGAGGGCCCTGCTGCTTCAGCCCCCGGGGAGCAGCGCCCCAGGGCCCCACTCCCCCCC